TTTCCATTTCCTAACAAATGGGGCAATGTCATTCTTTCTGATGGAGGCATAGAATTCCATTGTGTATATATACACCACATTTTCTTGATCCATTCATCTACTGAGGGGCATCTGGGTTGGTTCCAGATCTTAGCTATGGTAAATAATGCTGCAATAAACATGGTTGTGCTGGTAGCTTTAGTGTTTGTGAACATTTGGGTAAATGCCCATTATGTTTTTCTTCAATAATAGCTTTTTTTTCTTCCCCTCTGTCTCATTGGAAACAAACCCGCAACAGAAAGAGCAGCAGCCAGAGTTTGAGGCGAGCTCGTGCGCCTACTTGTACTTCGTAGTCTTCATCATCTTCGGCTCCTTCTTCACTCTGAACCTCTTCATCGGCGTCATCATCGACAACTTCAACCAGCAGCAGAAAAAGATAAGTGCGTGGGCCGGCATGCCAGACTGGGTGGAACAATCCAGAACCGTATTGCTCATGATAGCTCACCCTCTATGTACAGTATACACCTCACCACATAAATCATCTATGGTGCATATTATGTATTCATATATCATATGAAACACATGATAATCTATAACCTGTGTCACAATACACCATGGATAGTGTATCCTGTATTATTGCATAATATTATTACATTGTATTATTACACAATATATACTATATTAGTATATATTATATATTAGCATATAAACTTATTAGTATATATGAGTATATATTACATAAAAGTAGCTATTATATAATTAAAAGTTACATATCATTATATATAGTAGTTATCAATAGTATATAATATACTATATAATATATAATCTGTATTACACATATAATATGTAACAGTAATATATTATTACATAAATAATAATATAATATATTAGTATATGTTACATTGTACAATAGATATAATCTGTATTACATATATAATATGTAATATAATAACATTATTATATAATACATTGTACATACTACAATATAGCATAATGTATAATATGGTATGATTGTAATAATAATGTAAATATATAGAAATTATAATAAAATATTGGAACATATGATAATACATTACATATTAATTATGCACATGTCATGTACTATAATATGTAATATAGATAATATGCATATAGAATATGTATCATATATTATACTATTACATAATATTTACACTATTACACATAATATTACATACACATATAATATATCCAACGTATGCAGAATATAATATATATTGCATATATGACACCATATATATTATAATACCATTAGTTGTAAATAGAATTGTATGCTGTCAGCTGGCCAAATTCCATCAACTGATGCATTCCATCCGTATTCATGGAATATAATTCTAACAGGCTGGGGGCTGGGAAGGTGGCTCAGTGGTAGAGCACTTGCCTTGCATGCATGAGGCCCTGGGTTCGATTCCTCAGCACCACATAAGCAAAAAGAAAAAAGCCGGAAGTGGCGCTGTGGTTCAAGTGGTAGAGCGCTAGCCTTGAGCTGAAGAGCTGAGGGACAGCGCCCAGGCCCAGAGTTCAGGCCCCACGACCGGACCCCCCAAAAAAAATTCTAACAGGCTGGTTGTGTGCAAGTTTTTCCCACTCTAAAGCTGCTTTTATTCAATTCCATCGTTGCATACAGTCTTTATTTCCAGTGGGAATTTTAGGACTGGTTGATAGAATTATAATGTAACTTCAGAATTAGTCCTAAAGGTTCGGAACTCTGTGGCATATCTACATCTATATCTATACTCACATATACACGTATCTATTTATCTCTCTCCATACATATATATCAAGAAACAGCAACAATAGATCAACAAAACGCAACCCACTGCAACTGTCCACAATAATCGACTCTCATCTTTCCCATGTACTTAGGTGGCCAGGACATTTTTATGACGGAAGAACAGAAGAAATACTATAATGCAATGAAAAAGTTGGGAACCAAAAAACCTCAAAAACCCATCCCAAGGCCTCTGGTGAGAGCGAGGGAATGCCGGGTGTCTGTCTGTGTCTGTGTGTCAATCCTGCGCTTTAACTTGGGTCTCTGTGCATTTGCTTAGTTTTTTTTTTCTTTACACTCAAGGCTGGTGCTCTACCACTTGAGCCACACCTCCCTTCTGCCTTTTTTTCCTGGATGATCAGAGACAAGGGTCTCTTGATCTCTTCCGCCCAGGTGGGCCTGGAACCACGATCCTCCAGATCTCAGCCTCCTGAGTGGCCAGGCTGACAGGCGTGAGCCACTGGCTCCGGGTCTTTCCATTTCTTTATCTGACACTTTCTTGTCAGTGGGGGCTGGGGGCTCCCACCTGGAATCCCGGCTAATTGAGAGGACCGAGGAGCAAAACCAGCTCGGGCAGACACATCCTTTATGTCCAAGTAAGTAGCAAAAAGCTGGAAGTGCAGCTGTGGCTCAAGCGAAAGAGCACCAACCTTGAATGAAAAAGCCAGGCAAAACTGGGGGATTCTGAGTTCAAGTCTCAAGACTGGCACATGCACACACAGGCACACGTATGCACCCACACCACACACATACATGCACACTCACCACATGTATACATGCACACGCGTGCACACGGGGAGGTCCCATTGGGGGCCTGCTTGTCCTTTTGAAACAGCTTATTATTTGGTGCTAGTTGTGGGCCTGAACTCTGGGCCTGGGC